CTCTTTAATACTTTTAATTTTTGAAATATGCTTTTCTCAGAATAACTTTAAAAATTAATTATCCATTAGTGTTTTTACACAGTCTTCCATTAACTATAAATTGTTTTTTATTATGTGAAGGTATAAAAATAATGCACTGGAAGGTTCAGATTAGCAAATTCGAAATACAAATAAAACCATGTAGTCGCAAATGTATTGACGACTCGAAGTGACTCGAAAGCCGCCGTCGCGGTCCATAATTCGTACAGACGACAATGCTTGTACAACGAAAGGAACTTACGAGAAGTATCCGGAAATAATAAGAAATATTCCATGACGCTGTAAATAAGTGACTAGCATGAAACAAATAACGAGAACGGTATTCCCAAGACATTTGATATAAAAATAATAACACATTAAATACCAAATTTTCTTTTACTGATAGGGCAATTTAATATCGAAAATTCTTTAAACTTTATTAACATGATAAAGGACTGCGGGACACTAAATGACGTACATATATACCTATAAATTGAACTTAATATTATCCATAAGGAAAAGCATCCTTATTATTTCTTCTATATAAAGTTTAATAACTTGTTCCAATTCATGAAACCGAATTTAAAACTTACAGAAATATTGCTTATCTGCCTATAGTTCTTATTTGTAAATCATTTCATGTCCTTAATGAGCCTGCAACAGCAATAAATAACCTAGTCTCTTTATAGCCTTCTTAATGAATCTTTCTCTTGCTTCGTTTAATAAATATCGTTTACAAATAAAAATTGAATAGAGAGAAATAACTGTAAATGGAAATGAAAGTAGCAAAAATATACCTACACGCAAGCCTAAAATTAACTTGCCATAAAAGTAACTCCCTAATGAGGATTGAGTTACTTATGTTAGAAAGTCAGAAACTATACAAAACCCCTTTTTGATCTAAACAAAAAAAAAATTAGTAGTGTTTTATGCTTTAATGGTGCAATAGTTGCAAGAGGATTATTCGTAAACCAAAATAATAGAATATACAAAAAATGCTTACCTTATATACCAAGCACTTAGAAATTTTTTATTAATTGTTACAAAAGAATGAACGTACTAAAGAAAACTTTAGGACATAATTTATTTATACTTGAAGCATTTTATTGGGTTTCTCACGATAGGTACAAAATATTTCATAAAATTCAATTCGATACATTTTAAAGATAGCTCAAAATAAGTACATAGGTACTTATTACTTTATGTAGGTATAAGAGCAGGTAATAATCAATTTATTATCTTTATTGCTTTTGCAAAGTCAACGGTTTATTGGAGTTTTAGAGAGATAAGAGGTTCTCACTCACGCTCTCTGTGTCATATTAATATTATAAGAGAATAGATCGTTGTTGTGAATAATAATGGCTGATGCGATATTTAAGGAAAAGGTCATTCAGCACATTCTGTAGATACACGAGACTCCATTGTTAACACAATTAGATACAAATTGCCTCTTACAAGTTAAATAATGGTTCGCGATTATTTACACGATCGACCTAAATTTCAAACAGGAAGAATGAACGAAACAATACGGGGAAAGTTTGAATAAAATAACTTATTGAACATTTCACATTATAAATATACATAACTACATACTACAATGTAATTAAATTATACTCAAGAGTGCAAATAATTGGAGAAATGTATTTAAGGTCATGACACCTCCCTCTACTAAAGAATTGATGAAAAACAAATAATCTTATAATAAGAAGTAGCGATAATCCTGATGAATATTGTGAAGAGATGGATAGTGAAATTTAGCAAAATAAATCAAAAATTGAGAACACAATTTACAGTGGATGATTAGTTTTGCGACTGACGAAAAACACTGAAAGAATAAGGTGCAATCGGGTTGCTGAAAAATCTGTGCACGATAATGCCAAAAAGGCTCTCTGCAAACTATTGTTTTTAAACCTATTTGACACGTGTCATACTGTTCGGATATAACTCCGTTCGATTTCCATTTCTTCCTCCACCTCAAAACAAATTTCAATGAAAATCACGAACCATCGATGATGAGATGAAGGCAGTTACGACTGTTAAATAAGTATGAGCCTGACAGCAGAACTCTTTATCCATCGTTTTCTTCCAAAATCTCCTTCTGTTCTTCGAATTACGTTCTAGTGTGTACAACTTGTGTATGCTATTGTTATATTTTTCAAGAGTATTTATATATAGGTACCTACGTAGTTTCTTATCGACTATTTCTAATTTTTGTTAATTTTCCCAAAATTACAAAATGAATTTACTTGTGCCGATCGTCCTTTCTGATAGCAAAAATTAAATTTTGACTGCTACACATACACATACAGACGTGAGTTGTTACCATTTATTTAAATTCATCACGATACCACCTGTTGTATATCAGTCAGAGAAAATATTTTATCTTCTAAAAAGATAAGATACAGTTTATTAAGCAATCTGCTTTATTGTAAAGCAGAAATAAATTACAATCACTATTCTAATAAAAAAAGCATTTTCAAATTTTCCACAATATCAGAAACCATTAACCTTTCTGTTGACGAAACATTAAAAAAAATATATTGAAATAACAATTTTAGTTACAACACCTCCCTTTTTTCGGACATGGAGGTAATTCAGCAATCCAAATGCCACAAGGATCACAACCTTTCGGAGGCTTCAATTTCATCATACACGGCTGATAGCCTCGTGGACAGCCAGGTTTGTCTTCCGGTTGCTTACATTTCCTTCTCTGTGCAAGCACGACGGGGTCATTGCAAATCGGACTCTTCCCGTCTACTACTTGACCACAAGCCCTATTAGGATCTGGTTTCGGTATAAAATCAAATGTCGGATTTCGCCAATCCAAATTGTATCCGTTATAAAAGTTATCATATCGTAGATCTATTTTTTCGTCAGGTGTCATTCCCGGAGGTTTCGGCGGTCCGGGAAGTTGTAACGGTCTAAGAGGTTCCGGCCTGTAAGGAAGAGGTCCTGGAAGTGGACAGCAACCGAGATACACTTGCGCATAAGGAGGAAAGCACAAAGGATTACAGTCGGCAGGATTACACGGGGCGCAAGCTGGAGGACAACACGCGGGAGGAGGACAGGGGCAAGGACAGCACGGTTTACAACAGTCATCTATTTCACAGATAATATTTTTCATCTGTGCTAGAATGGTTGGACTACACATTTTGATTAGAATGTTTTTAAAAAAACACAACAAAATCTAAAACGTTCAATTTTGATGCAAACACAAACGAAAAATTTCTGACAACTATAAAAAGATTTATAATGCACCGCCTACTGGAACGAATTATTTCCAAATCGAGAAAAAACGATTCTGTTACAGAAAAAATTTAAATCAGAATTTTTTTGGAAATTTGTTACTGTCCTGCAAGAAAAATCGTTACAAACT